CAGAGATTACAACTTTATATATGTAGATAGATATCCTTGTATAAACATATGATATATTGAACATCTGCCCATCTTGAGTAAACCTGAAAGTTAAAGTTTACATAGGACCAGTTGGAACTGATCACTTCAGATTTATAGGCATACAGGAGGATTCTTAAAACATGCATACATACAGGGGGATTCATAAAACAGGCATCCATACAGGGGGATTCATAAAACATGCATACATACAGGGGGGTTCATAAAAAATGCATACATACAGGGGGATTCATAAAACATGCATACATGCAGGGGATTCATAAAACATGCATACATACAGGGGATTCATAAAACATGCATACATACAGAGGATTCATAAAAACTGCATACATACAGGTAAATTCATAAAACATGCATACATATAGGGGAGTTTATCAAACATGCATACATACAGGGTAATTCATAAAACATGCATACATACAGGGAGATTCATAAAACATGCATACATACTGGGGGATTTATAAAACATGCATACATACAGGGGGATTCATAAAACATGCATACATACAGAGAAATTCAGAAATTCTACAATCATCGAAAAGTTTTCGACGCATTCGTATATAGTGGTTATTTCATAATATCTTTTATTTTATTTTTATGATCTGGGAGTTACTTTTGCAAACATTTATTCCAGTTTCGAGGATTTTTGATAATGAAGACGACATTTTCATTTTTTCCAGGAATGTTCAAAAATCCTGCGCTAGCTGTGAAAACAACTTCTAAGCTAGAATATTATTTTAAAAAACTAAACAAAAAAAGTAATAGAATATCAACTATTTAAATACAAATGCGTCGAAACATTAGCGATGATTATAGATTGTAATATCTCGAATGGTTTGTTTGAATTGAGTTAATTTTTTATGATCCAAGTCTAATGTTGCAACTTTCTGAATTTGTATGGACGCTACGTTCTTCTGTATGAGTAGTTTTAACAAGGTTCTCTTTATAGACGGAACAGATAGACGTAAGATTAGTAGCGATCACCATCGATAATTTTTCGACGTAAGCCTATACCCCCCTTTTATTTTTGCGAACACTCCCTTGAGCTTATTGAAACGTCAATTACTTCCACATTATTAATCAATAAAGGGTTTCAATGGTATAGTTGTGAATCGGGCTTTGTCATCTTTGCTTGTAGGGTCACTTGAAAATTCTCTTACAATCCCTTTAATGTAGAGGTTAATGTAGAGGTTAATTTAGAGGTTAATGTAGAGATTAATGTAGAGGTTAATGTAGAAGTTAATGTAGATAGGTTAATGAATTATTACTTACTTCTTTTGCCAAAAGTCTTTAGGTTCCTAGGTAAAATGTCGAAATGCCTTGTTTTGTGTTTCATTTTGATGCTTTTGAAAAGACTGTGACGAAAAGAAATATCTTTGCACAAGTTGTGCAAAATATTTGTCAACATTTTTTATTGCAATTTCATAGTTTTGTTTCAAAGTATGATTTTTCCTATACTTTAGACTTGATTTTTCATACAGAGACGGTTATTACTACAAAACCCCCTGTGTTGTACGATGATAAAGAATGTATAGTTGGAGGACAAATATATGATTTAACACTCTACACTCTACACTTTACACTCTACACTCTACACTCTACAGTGCACTCTACACTCTACAATCTACACTCTACACTCTACACTCTACACTTTACACTCTACACTCTACACTCTACACTCTAAACTCTGCACTCTACACTCTAGTTTTGTAACTAATATCCCCTGCAATGTAAAAAAAAAAAATATTTGAATCAAAATTTAAAAAATGTTGTCTGGAAAAAAATGTCGGCATTATAATATTTTTGAAAATCTCTCAATTTTACAATAAAACCCATAAACATTTTTCTTAAACTCAGGGCACAATAAAAAAACGACTTAAAAAGGAACAGTTTAAAGTTAAAATTGTTACTAGAAAAAGGGGACACGAAGGCCCTTAAAGTCTACTATTTCAATTGTGATTATTTTCTAAACCTGATACATCATATATGTTCTAAGTTGAGTGGGTTCTTGAAGAATTAGATTTTTTAAATCTGCTGGAATTTCAAAATGTTGACAGTTCATGATTGATAAACAATTTTGGGGACACATCATACAGCGAGAACCAGAAAACAATGGAATTCTCGTTGTTTTCTTAAATCTTTTTATATTGAAAGAATTCATTTCAATTTTTTTTTTCAAAATCTTTTCAAAAAAATAGAATTGTGCAATTTTTTTTAAATCAATTTTTACAAGTTTTTTAATAATATATCTTAGTTGATGATATTTGTTTTTGAGGAAACCTGAGCTGAAAACTTTAGAATGTGAATCCTTAATCCTGGTCGGTTAATTAATCTGGAAATTAATAACAAGAGGAGAACAAGCATTATTTAATCTGGAGATTAAGAAAAAGAGGAGATCACGCATTGATTTCGATATCCACCATTCTAAAGTTTTCAGCTCTGGTGAAAGACGAAAAAGGGATTTAAATTATTTTACCTATTTTTACTTATGGGCCAATAAAAAATTCCACCCTGGCATTGAAATTTAAAACAAAAATTAAAGTTAAAAATATTGGATATTTTGTTAAAGCTTATTCTGGTATTATATTGGAGGTTTAAGTTCACCACTGCATTTCTTATCATTCTGCACAGATACTGAGCAGTTTATTAAAATACAATTTCTTTTTATATATTTTGGAAATATTGGAAACTAAAACTTAAAAAAAATATTTACTATTACCAATACACAATATACAAAGTAAGTTGCCGAATTTTTACTAATATTCAGGTTAACTTTCAAAGTTTAATAAAATTTAATATTTATTTAATAAACAAGCAATCAAAAAAGCTTTGACTTTCTAAAATTTAAAGAAAAAAAATATCTTTCTTTGATACTTTATCTAAAACGAGTTTATAACAATAAACACTATAAAAAAGATTTTCAAAAGACTTTGGTCAATTAAAGTCGTGCTAGTAATGTTGCATTAATTGGACTATCTTCTTCTGCAGTTGGTAAATTCACTTTACCATTAGACCATGTAAATTTTTAATGTAAATTAATAATTATCGAGCATGCATTCTCACAAAGATCTCGACTGTTTTGAGAAGTTGCAATTATTTTTAAGCCTAGGTGGACCTTTAAGTGTCGCAGAGTGCTTTGGCCTTTACCTCACAATGACTTAATTATTTTTTATGTAGCCCTAAAAATGATTTTATAACTATAAAACAATTGTTTCTAGCTTGAGGTTGTATAAATTGGCAATACAAATGCTTGATTTTTTGGTGAAAAGCTTTCATCCCTCATCATTAATGTTTGTCATCCCCGTAAATTAATAAGCGTGGAAATGGTTTCGAAAGTAGGCGCGCACTGACCCGGATTTTTTACTGTCGCCATCCCTCTTCCTTCTTTGCAAAATCCTGAGCGGTTTTTTCTTTTGATTAAAAGAAAAATTATTCCTTTATATATGTTCGCTAGTTCGGGAGATTACTTAAACGAAAATGTGTAAACTGTGAAACCAATAACCAATATAAATATCGTCTTTTATTTAGATATTTTTTAAAGAATAAGAACTGCAGTGAGGAAAATATCCTTTTTCTCCGATTCTACAAAGTCATATTTTGGTCAGTATAATCTTAAAAACATCATTAAAAGGGGGAATCTGTAAACTTCTCGACGAACAAAAACAAGAATATAGAATTATTTTCAAATTATGTAGATAATTTAGGATAAGAAGATTAGAGAACATTACAATATAAGATTGTAAAACAAAATATAAAAGAATGAATCCTTTAAAAAAATATTATTAAAAGTCGAAACTTTATTTTATTACAGAAAAATCTTTAAAAAAAAACTATGCTGTCCACTTTTTTAAAATAGAAGTTTAGAAACCAACTCATGGAAATATCTGGTTTAAATAGTTTTAAAAGATTAAGTTAAATTTTGTGGAATTTCTTTAGTAGGGGGTGGGAATGTTACCATGTCTTTAAAAAAGATTATTCAAACAAAAAACTAAGCGGTTTCAGGTTTAAATAGTCCAATAAGAATAATAAATGATGAATGTGTTTAGAATAAAGGTACGTTGGTGAATAGTTTAGAATTCTTCTTCCTTGATTTTTTAAGTGGTTTGATCCAAACATCAAAATAAAAAATATTTCATGGCAGTCATATTATAGTAAAATTCATTTCAGATAAATACTTTTAGTATTTTAAGTTTGATACACATTACAGGGCTGAACAAAAGTGAGCTGTTTTGGTTTAGACACATTTTTTTAAATTTTCAAGTTTGAGTATATTACTGAACCAACATGGAAATTAACATTTACATTTTGCAGATCTGTATTCACATGTGAACTGTCTGTCCGGGAAGAGAAAATAAAGTTTTACAAACTAAAATGTATTCCATCAGAAGACTTTTTATCCTGCCAACTAATAACTCTAGAAATAGAATTAATTGCTAAGGAATTGAGTTTTTGCAACAAACTCTGATTTTCTAATTTCAATATCGTTGCAGCCCAATGTCGGAGACCTTTAATATTTCAATCTATGAATGATATTAGATAAAAGGTTTACATCATAAGGCTGCAAAGATATTGGTTTTACAAAAACTGAATTTGTGGCAAAGACTCAATTCCTTTAAGAAATAGATGTAATACTTTGTGATACACAATTTTTCAATTTACGACTATGAGAATTTGTTGATATATATATATATATATATAAGTTTGTGAACTTTTGAATTATTAAAATCGTTAAATTTTTTTCTTAGACAATTGCTCATTCAAGAAATAGGTGTAATAAATTGTGATACACTTGTAATTTTTCAATTTACGACTATGGGAATTTTTTAAATATATATAAAAGTTCTAGAATTATTTAAATCTTAGACACAAAAGAAACTGCATGCATTATTAAACTTGAAGCGATAGCGTTTTTATAGGGTAGTGTATATTTATAGTATGACCATAAAAATATATAAATAATATCACTTCTTTAAATAAATTTATTTTTATAACTTTATCTATAAAATATTCGGCACCACCTGGTTACCTCTGTCATAAATAATATTCATTTGATTAAATTCTATTCATAAGGCTTTAAATATCACTCAAACTTATGTTACAGCATTTCGTGTTTTTCACATAAACATTTGGTAAAAGTATTCATTTAAAAACATAAAAATTTGATCTAATTTTAATTGTTTAAACATTCATGAATTTAAGTTAAATAACTTCTTGATTGAAATAAATATTAGGAATAAAATGACGCAGTGTTCCCAAAGTAAAATAATGACTCTTTTACACAAAAAATCGTTAAAAAAACTTTACTATGATGACATGGTTCCAAAAGTCCTTTCATTTGAAGAGTTTCTCAAATCACAACGGTAACTGTGTTCAAAGAATCTTGTTTTTTTCTGAAAATAAATCATTTTCAACTCCAGTTTCTCTGTAATTTGTGGATTTATGTAAAGAGTCAATGAAGAACAAAACTCATCTTTTTGTTCAGATAAAACAAAAATATCTTCAGCTTGTTATTTTTTGAAGATTTACCATTGTGAATCTGGCGTGAAGCTTTTTAAACTCTTGATCAAAATTATTTGTTTTTAAAAAGTTCAATTGACTTAAAAAATGACTTTTTTGATGTTCGATCTTATTTTTCATATAACAAGTAAATCTCACCAGTTAAAAATATACTAAAATGCAATAATACACAATCAACAAAATTTCCTAAAGGCTTTTTACCAAGCGGTAACTTCCCAAGGGTATTTTCCCAACCGTGCAATTACCCAAGCAGCACCTTCCCAAGTATTTCATAACCGCAGCGCTCGGCCCCCTATCCTGTTCTAGCCGCTGCGCTCGGCCCCCTAGCTCATCGTAGCCGCAGAGCTCAGCCTCTATTACGACATGCGGTGCCTCAGAAGGCCTAACCTAACTTTGAGATTAGTTTGCCTCTTGGTAAATTGTCCAATTTGGAAGTGGCCAATTGGATATAATTGTCACTTGGGAAGTTGCCCTTGGGAAAATACCTTTGGGAAAGTACCTAACACCATAAAAAATATAGTTCTTTATATAAAAGACGAGAATGTAAACATTACTTTTGAGCAATCTGATTATTATGCTAAGATTTGGTTTCGCGAATTTACTGACAAGATGGCATTTTAAAACGATTTCTTTGTGTGTGGTAACATCAAGGGTCATTTCAGTTTTTGTAATAAAATATTTTCTTCCAGAAAAATGGTGAATAGTTCAGACTAAATAAATATCACATATTTTTGGTATAAAAACTTTTTTAATTATTGTTTGAAACTAATATTTACTCCTCTGTTGAACAACCTTGAGTCCTAAAATATCTTAATTTATCAAATTTTTTCCCAATATTCATTGGTAAATAATCTTCATGGTCATCACTTGATTTTCCAGGATTTAGGTTCGTAGATTTCTCCATCTTTGAGTCCCCACGGTTCCAAACATCCCTAGACGATGTGTCATTATTGGTGTACTTCGTCCATTCTGGAAAAGATCGTCCATTTTTATAATCCTGTCTGATATCAACAAACCTTGGCGGTCTTTCGTCATTTGTAGAATCCCGATATTTATTGACCAAGTCATGAAGCCGGAATTCTGGTTCCTCCTCTCCTGTTTCCAAACATTTGTTTCCCGAGTCAAAACACATTCGAACGTACAGCGCATCGGAGCTTCGTCTTCGATGCAGTGCACGGGAATTGTTTGCGGCATATCCCGTAACACTGGATTTCTGAAAGTAAACAATGAGTTTAACTCATTCTCAGAACTATTTGGAAACTTTGAAATTAAAGGGAAAAGTATAATATTAATGCATTTTGAAAAAAAGAATGTACGTCAAAATATTTCAACTTATAACAGAAATAAAAAAAAATATTTGCTTTGTCTGTATAATAAACATTTTTCATGTTAAAACATATGTCGGCATCCCATGCTTTCTGTAACAAGTGTAATATAAATTCATCATAAAAGTTCTATTTATCATGGATGATTCATGTATCCACGTGGGGGGGTTTTATGGCTTAACAATCTTCAACCCTTTTTTAACCAACAATCGTTGTTCTATAAGCATAAGTTAAAGTGTACTAAAAAAGTGTCTATCAGTACATGTTGTATCTCTTTATTTTATTAATTTCTAGGGATTAGTGCATGCACTGTTATATAGCTTGTATTTGATTTATTTCTAGAAATTGTTAAATGAACATAGATTGTTCTTAATTAATCTCAAGGAATTAGTAAATGAGAATATATTGTTCTTAATTGATCTCTAGAAATTAGTAAATGAGCAAAGATTGTTCTTAATTAATCTCTAGAAATTAGTATTAAATGAGAATAGACTGTCCTTAATTAATCTCTAGAAATTAGTATTAAATGAGAATAGACTGTCCTTAATTAATCTCAAGGAATTAGTAAATGAAAATAGATTGTTCTTAACTAATCTCTAGGAATTAGTAAATGAACATAGATTGTTGTTAACTAATCTCTAGGAATAAGTAAATGAGTATAGATTGTTTTTAATTAATTTCAATGAATTAGTACTTGTAAATAATTTGTAATGTCTAGGAATTATCACATGTACATAGATTGTACTTGATTAATTTCTAGGAATTAGTGCATGTACATAGATTGTACTTGATTAATTTCTAGGAATTAGTACATGTACATAGATTGTACTTGATTAATTTCTAGGAATTAGCACATGTACATAGATTGTACTTGATTAATTTCTAGGAATTAGTACATGTACATAGATTGTACTTTATTAATTTCTAGGAATTATCACATGTACATAGAGTGTACTTGATTAATTTCTAGGAATTAGTACATGTACATAGATTGTACTTTATTAATTTCTAGGAATTAGCAAATGTACATACATTGTACTTGATTAATTTCTAGGAATTAGTACATGTACAGCGTAAATAGATCACTGAAATCTTTTCATAATAATTATTTCTGACCTTTCTAAGATTAGTTTCCTGCTCCAGCTCCTGTTTTGCTATTGTCAGGAGACTGTTTAAACTCCTGTCCTCCCCTTCCTCATCCTGTTCCTCCTTTTCATCCTGTTTCTCTTCCTTCTCCTGCTCTATTATATGCTGCTGATCTTCACCCCGACTTGTTTTCCTGCTCGCAGGAGCACTTTTAGCCATCCTCAGTTCTCCTCCTGTTCATTAAAATGTTAAGTTTTAAATAAAATCAACCAAAAAATGTTGTGATAAAAAGAAACTGAGTTTTTGCGACAAACTCTGATATTCTAATCCGCATATATTTACAGAACAATGTCGTAGACCTTTAATATTTCAAACTTTGAACTATGCTTGTTAAAATAATCAAAGTTTGAAATATCAAAGGTTCACGCCATTAGGTAGCATAGATATAGAGATTTGAACATTTTAGCTGTTGGCAAAAAACTCAGTTCCTCGTTTGATATAATTCTCTTTTGTCTAAAACCCTTTGAACTTACAAGACAACTATATTGCGTAATTTTAGATTAGATTTTGATTTTAGAAGAAGAAAAAAACTACCAATCGATTCATTTTTATCTTTCATGTTAACAATTCTTTTGAAAAAGTTATGACTTGTATTAATGTTCATAGTTTAAACTTTGTTGAAAGGAACTGTTTTTGTAATCTTAAGTCACCCTCAATCTAAAAAAAATGAGCCTGACCGATTTACAAGGGTACCCGGAGGAAATATAGCTGATCCGCAATATGGAAGATAGTTTGAAAATTGTTTTATTCTGAAATTAAGTCTTTGACACAATCTTAATTTTTCTAATCCATATTTCTCCACAACCTGATGGTGTTAACCTTTGATATTTCAAACAACACGCGAAACTGACATAACTCACAGTATGTCCTGATGATACGATTCATGTGCGGAGTTTCGTTAATCTTGAACATTTAATATCGATATCCAATATGGGCACTTTTAAATTTAATATCGATATCCAAAATGGGCACTTTCAAATTTAATAATGCTACATCTCTCAAGTAAAGTTAAATATGCAGGGGCCAGGGAATAGATGAGAAATCAAATTAATCCGACGGTATTGAACGAAGTAAATATTCATCCCAATACTAAGATTTATTCACAAAAGTTCTGCTGATTTGATATAAAATTAAAGGCCGCCAACTACTCAACAATATAGAACTTTTAAACTTTAATATGCAATTCAATTCAATTTAATGTGAAAAAGTTGGGACCAATAAAAAAGTTTTAATAAAAATATTAAAATTTAAATTGCAGAAAAAAATGGTTTTTTGATTTAACCAGTAGCATCTGGATCCACGTGACAACATGATATTGTGATGTCAACAACAAATAAGTTTTCAGAAGAAATATCAACAAGTAAAATACTGCAATATTGTTTTACAGATCAAGTTATGATACAACAATAGAAGAGTTCAAGAAAATATACATCTATCTATATATATTCTCCACATTTTATAGTGCAACATAGAAAGACGTACGTACGTTCACTTTACTCCTGGCCTGCTCAAGTCGGGATAGAGGTTTAAACAATATTTTGAGCAAATATTAAACAATTATATATTTAATACGGAGCTAAGGAAAGAACCAATAAAATTACAATCCATCAAAAAATGAATTGAGTCTTGTGACACTTATTGGATAACGTTATATGATTAAAAGTTAGACAAATATAAAGTTTAAATGTACAACAAATAACTAGAAAAAACTAGAAAAAAACTAGAAAAAAACTAGAAAAAACTGCCTCATTGCTTGGTTTTGAATTTACTTCTTTGTTTATCTGCATCTTAACCTTGATTAAACATTAAACTCTTCTCTTTTTTTTGCAGCAAGGTCTTTGCAACAAAGTTTTTCAGACTGTATACACACCCTTCTTCTTCTTCCTGTACATTGTCTTTTAAGTCCTGCAAGACCTTCCCATTTTGATATTTCTTTCACCAAAAATATTATCTTTAATGGCATAACATCTGATGATAAAAAATACGTTGGTTTTTCTCTATTTATACCTTACATTCCCCTCCATATTACCGGCACAACCTTGTGACCTCGTGGATCCTCTAGTACGACAGATCTAATATTCTAGGTTTGAAGTACCAAAAGGTAACAGGTTGCAAAGGTTATGGGATTAGAAAATTGTAGTTTGAGGAACGTATAAGATTCTTTAAAAGATGTTTTAATGCATTTTTGATTCACAATCCCAAAGTTAAATTGAGTCTTCTTCTGGATTAAAGTCTTTAAAAGGATTATTAAATGATTTGGCAAAGAGAGAAACACGTTTAAAGTTGCAGAGAACTGTGAATATACGGAAACAGACAGTTTAAATTCCGTACAGTCGTCTCTGAAGTCTCATCCTTTGTGGGTAACCCTTTATAATGGAGAACTATAAAACAGCTGAAACAGCAGGAAATTGTTCAAGGTTAAATAAAAATCATTTTTACTAATGATTTAAATTTTACTATTTTAACATTTCTGAATTCAATGTTTCGCTTTCAAGACGTTATTTTGATGCTCATCTTGATATATTTTGACAATTTTAAAGTATAGAGAAAAAAGTCGTATTTCTTATTCCTAACTATGTGTTAACGAGATCTAAACCGCTTGTTCAGCCGCTACTGCAGAGTTCTTTTCTTCAAAGTATATATCATTTTAATTTTTCATTAATTTGTTTAGTATCATTATTTTCAATTATATGGATTCTTTAGATATTACTGTATTACATCTGTAATCTCTACTTGAACCTAATTGGTCTACTTATCGTTCTACTTTATCAGTAAAAAGTACATCTATTTATATATTATACCTTTTTGATATTCCCCCCNTCCTAATCCGATTACAAAAAAAGATGTAAAATTATTGATTTGACTCCACATTTTGGTTTAAAAATAAGATTAGAATGACAGAGACCAGAGAAATTGGTTGAACCACGTCGACGCGGTTCAACCATGTTTTGCCAATCATAAAATCAGATCTCAGGGAAAATCGAAAAGTTGAAATGTTCACGGTACATTCATTTAACCAATTTAAAAAAATATATTTGGTTCTATATGAAAATTAGCAACTCATGAATTTTTGCAGAGAAGCCTGACTGGAAAATAGCCTAAATCAGACTTTTATTAAGAAACAGAATTATAATAAGTAAGCTTATTTACCTGGAAGTACAAAATGATCCGGAAATAACAGATTTTTAACATTTTGTTGTTGTTGTTGAGGTTGATGTTGTTGAGGCTGTCGATGTTGTTGTTCTTGTGATTGCTGTTGTTGTTCTTGTGATTGCTGTTGTTGCTCTTGATGATGATTATGATGATGATGTTGATGATACCGATGTTGTTGATCTTGTTCCAGCTGCTGCTTCAGCTGTAGAGGAAGAAGATCAAGAAGCGAGGAGAACTCCTGTGATGTTGAACCAGTATACTAAACAGTAAGCAAACATTTCATTAAACAGTAAACAGTAATCTTCATGATAGAAACAATCTTAAGAACTGACAAGGGTCAACCCAGACCGAAATATATTTTTAATAAAATGACGAACTAGCATCCACTTTTTTTACTCTACAGAGGTTTGGTCTATAACCATCACCGAATTTTTAGTAAAAAAAAAACATACATTTCACTAAACAGTAAACAAACATTTTTCTAAACAGTAAACAAACATTTTACTACACAGCAATTAAACATTTTACTAGACAGTGAACAAACATTTTACAAAACAGTAAACAACATTTCACTAAACAGTAAACAAACATTTCACTAAACAGTAATCAAACATTTTACTAAAAGTTAAAAAACATTTTAGTAACAGTAAATAAACAATTAACTAAACAGTACACACACATTTCACTAAACAGTAAACAAACATTTCACTAAACAGGAACCAAATATTTCACGTTTATTTGATTGGTGAACTGAAAAGAACAACAGAAATGGTCTCCTAGTTTACTTTAGAAATACTAAGTTAAAAAGTTTGAATTTTATAGAGAAAATTGCAGGCAAAGCTGGGTTTCCAAGCTAGTATAAAGCTACAATGATTCTACATTTTACAATAAACAGAACGTACATCCATCAGACGAGCTAGTACAGTTCATACATATAAAGTAAGTACGAAATTTATTTACTTAAATCTAGCCTGATTTACAGGATTCTAAATTAGGTCAGTATTAAGCCTAATATAGACAGCTGAGATTAAAACAGGAAAAACAGGCTGAGATAAACTTTTTTGAATATTTTTCTTTAATAAAATCTTTCCTTCAGAAAATGAAAATAATTGATGCATACTTGAATTTAAAATATATGCAGATTTTTGCATGCTTCAAAACAGAAGTTAATTCCAGTTTGAAGAAGAATTGACTCCTGTAATTTTCCCAATTCCTGTAAATTAACCCAAACTAACTGTCACTGTAAGGTCAAAAGCACTAGACGAGTGTCTGACATGGGTTTAGTTTCAGAGCAATATTAGATTTGAAGTATTTACGATCTAATTTGCTTTCCCATGTTTAAAAGTCGTGCACTGTCAAGGACAGAGAAAATCAATCATTGACATTTTCATAATTTCGTTTCGAGGATTTTGTAGAATGTAGAAAACTGATTTTATTCATATAACAGATAAGATATTGAATTGCTTTGCATAAAAGTGCACAAGGTACGATGCACATTTATTTTAATGCATATATTCATCTATTTTGACAGATTTCAGATGTTTGAATGCATACTGCATCAAGTACATGACTTTTTTTCATGTATTCGAGATATTTGATACACGGCTTGATAAGAGAAGAGGAAAAGGCAAAATATTAAAAAGGCCGGATGATATTTTCCTAAAATGCGAGAAAAAATCTCTGCTTTCTTAAGCAAAGTTAGAGTCTTTTAGACCTGAAATTCTTTTTGTAATTTAAAAACGGTTCTTTACAGGGGTTCTTAATCTTATGTAAGTGTAGTTTATCAGTACTGTAGCTGTACACTCTTAGGGCCAAAGAATCAATGTATATATAGTAGTAATCTATGTTTGTCTGTTGTATGTCCAATCAAAACTCATGAACCATGCTTAACCTCAGATTTACCCAATAATTCTATTAGGAAACTCGGTAAGACCACGGGAATGTTCTTAATCTAATTTAAAGATGCTTAGTTGGGTAAAAGGAAAACTTCAAGGAATTGTCCTTCAAATTTATTTTCCAGGCGAGGCTAGTATGAAAAATTATGGTAGAGCGATACGGAGTCGTACAATATAATCTTCATGTACAAGACATTCTTATGCATTAGACATGCTCATGTACTAGACATGCTCATGTACTAAACATGCTCATATACTAAACATGCTCATGTACTAGACATACTCATGCATTAGACGTGCTCATGAACTAGACATGCTCATGTGCTAAACATGCTCATGTACAAGACATGCTCATGTACTAGACATGCTCATGTACTAGACATGCTCATGTACTATACATGCTCATGTACTAGACATGCTCATGTACTAGACATTCTTATGTACAATACATGTTCATGTACTAGACATGCTCATGTACTAGACATGCTCATTTACTAGACATGCTCATGGCTCATGTACTAGACATGCTCATGTACTAGACATGCTCATTGCTCATTTACTAAACATGCTCATGTGCTAGAATGCTCATTGCTGATGTACTAGACATGCTCATGTTGTAGACATGCTCATGTACTAAACATGCTCATGTACTAAACATACTCATGTACTAGACATGATCATGTACTAGACATGCTCATGTACAAGACATGCTCACCTTGGTCCTTGCTTCCTTCAACTCCTTCTCTCTCCTTCTCTCCACCAGTACCGTGGTAGGACAGGCAAACGGGATTATCGGCATTCCTACAATAAAACACAAATATTTAAACGTGTGTTGAGTACAAAAATCGCCGATTTTAACACTGTGATCTAACCAGGCAACGTTTGTTGCATAAATTTATTTATATTCTAGTGTACAAATTGTGTATAGTTCAGCACTCTATAATAATGGTTTATGATGAACTATGAGGCATTTGTGATCAACTTTGATATTTAAAAAGTAATTTGCAAAACTCTCATCGGTTTTAACGAAAGAGCTTGCAACCTTTAGATTACTCTGCGTTCTTTAATGTAACATACAACCTTTTACAATTTAATTTACAATTTAAACCTTACAATTAGATTTCTATAAAACGGATTTCCAACAGCACAAGCTGTCATTAAGCAAAACCCAAAGCGTGTTTGGTTGTGTTGCATTAAATCCCCCTTTATATGGAGATGATATGCGTTATATCAAAACTAGAGAAGTTACGATGTCACAAAGTCGTATTAGCATGTAAAGGTACATAATGTTAACTTATGTATATAGTTCAACATTCACGCTAATGTGTTTAGACAAAGAAAGCTAACAACATGAGATATTTTATAGAAATAAAGCGTAGTTGAAACATCAAGAAGTCTCATGGACTTTATGTTTTTACTTGTTCCAGCAACGTCAGCAGTGAATTGACTGTTTTGCTCCATTTTTTCTCTCTAATTTTTCGGCATTTTTTTTTTGTTTGTTATGTGAACTGGAGGGAAAACTAAGGGGTGTCTTACAACTGATATTTTTGATTTGATATTTATTGAAAGATTCGCAAAATTTTTGGTTTAAAAATCCGTGAAATTGACTATTACTAAAATGGATCCTTTTCATATTCTGGTTAAAAAATGGCTCCAGTCAGAATTGATAGGTTAAATAGCTGAGTAGAGAATCTGAATTATCCTGGGATATGGAAAATTTCGAAATGAGATTCAGGATCGCCGAGTCTTCAGGTTAATGCTCAACCTGCTACTGATTAAGAACTTAAAATGATTTTGGAAGAGTTTTCTGTTTCCCTGCAGCCTGCAGAAATCAGAAAGTGTGTCAACCACATGAGAGATCTCGCCAGATCTCTCAATGGAGCCTTTTTAGAAAAGTTTATATAAATGGAAATTTTGGTTAAAATGTAAATTTCCCAATCTAATTTAACTAATAATATATGTATTGCAGGCTTATCAGGTTGTTTTAATTGAAATATAAACAAATCAATAATATCAGTTGTAGAGAAAAACCCTGTAGCTTGGTAACCCAGCTTTGCATGGAAACTAAAGTTAAAACCCGTTTTGTAAAACATTTTAATTATATCGGAAAAGTCTCTCTTCGAAACTGCAAAAAAAGTGGTTTCAAATAAAAATTTAGGTTGCACAAGAAAAGTATAATGCAAAATACTGAAACTAAATTTAACAAATAAAGAACAGAGTCAAGACGTAGCATATATATACATTAGAAAAATAACTCTTATTTGGTTAATGATAGTTAGTGTCAAATAGATGTCATATGACTTGAGCACTGAGCACTTATCTTTAAACGCAATTTATGAATTTATTTTTGCACTTGACATCTTGCATTCAACACACATATATACATCTTGCATTCCACACACCTATATCCATCTTGGATTCAACATACATATATAGTACATCTTGCATTCAACACACATATACACATCTTGCATTCCACACACCTATATCCATCTTGGATTCAACATACATATATAGTACATCTTGCATTCAACACATATATACATCTTGCATTCAACACACCTATATCCATCTTGGATTCAACATACATATATAGTACATCTTGCATTCAACACATATATA